AATAATAATAATAATAATAATAATAATAATAATAATAATAATTATTATTATTATTATTATTATTATTATTATTATTATTATTATTATTATTATTATTATTATTTTGATGCATTTAATACTGTCAGTGAGGAGTTTGTCAATACTCCAGACCAATGCTCCTGCATTTCAGGGCAGCACTGCTGTTAATGTTTTACTCTGGCAGAAAATTTGACCCATGATTATTATGCTTTGAAGCATTAGGACAACGGTGAAAATTAAGCACACAGTTCAGTGTTTTGCTGGGGAAAGCACTGAACGCTTCAGGGAACAGCTGGCTAGAAGCTGTATCTAGATACATTAGTGTCATTCCCAGAGGAAGCACCAACCTCCCAAAGCCTTCTGGGGCTACCCACTCCCTCCTGTTTAAAAGCCAGGGCAGGGATCATCCTAATGCGAAGACAGATTCAAATGCAGCTGTCTGGCTCAGAAGGCAGCAAGAATGAGCTTATAATTTTCTTCCCTCACCCCCCTCAGAACTTCTAGCCTAACATGTATTAAATTTGCCATGTAACAGTGCCTTTTTATCCCTTCAAATAGCTGCACTGTTTTGGCTGCTGGGATTTCTCAATTTTCCTCCCAGTTTTACACTTTAGTGCCTTTCTTATAGAATGGACCAAGCAGCTTCTCCCTTTGACATTTGGCATACCAGTGCTGTGCTCCTCAGGCAGATGCTAATGCTCTGCCCACCTCTCAGCAACAAACAGATTATATATATTTTCCCCAAGCTGATGGCTTGCACAGAGAGCAATTCTGCACCGAATTTCTCCTGGGCACACCAGCCCTCCAAGCTCCACGTAGCCAAATGGGAGCTTCTCTACTGTACCATTATAAGAAGATTGCTGTCTCAGAGCTGTATTTCATACACAAAGCCTCCAGAGAGATGACACCCCACTCAACATGAAGGGGTCCCATGCACTCACTGCAAGTTTCAGCATTCGTGTAGCCAACAGAGGTCAGTGCAAACCCAATAAACGTCTGTCACTGTGGCTTACAGTCCCTTACAGACTTGTCACTGCCCTGGAGAGAAACTGCAGGAATCGAGGCAAGTGCAAGCATCGACTGTTCCTTACTCCTTTCCTCTGCTGGACGTTTTGTCCATGACTGGAGACACTATGGATAAGATAGTCTGCAGGCTCTGGCCAGTGATTTCCTTCCCTGCATCTCCCTGCTGGCTCCCCAGCTGCAGTGCAAAGGGTTTCTTCCTAAAATGAGATTTCTGTCTCAATGCCCTAAAACAATGCAGACCTCTGAGCAGAGCTGTGATCTAACTGGCACCTCTGCACAATCCAAACTGCTTTCTCCCTAAAGCTCTTTTTTCTTTCCTCTCTTTCATCTTTTCCTTCACTGCCACAGGGACAAGAAAGGGATCTGCTTAGCACCTATGGACATACCTGCTGTCTGTATTGCACTCTTCAGTTCAGACACATCAAGAAATCCAGAATGATTTCTGTCTTCCTTGCTGAAGATATCCTAAAACCAGTGTAAAGACAGATTTCAAGCCCATACCAGCATTCCCCAAATATACTGCTACATTTAATTATGTAGGATGATTTTCCTCCTTAATAAATAAGCTGCAAGGAAATCCAACAGATGAGAGGGGGTGACCATGACAAGGGAAACCCATTTCCAAAAGGCTCAGGCAGTACGTTACTGTCTAAGAAATCCCATAGCTTTGGGTGGGCGGAAGCCTTTTTCTCACTCTCCCTGGTTTACTTGTGCAGGCAGCAGTGGGAATACTCACACCTCTACTGACAAAAAGACAATGTCTAGAGACTTGTGAAATAAGCCATGAGTCCCCAGGTCCCAGAACGGTGTTGGGGTCATCTTTCCCAATACACCATTGAAATTTCACAAGCCATACCTGCAGTGCTGGCAGTGGGAAGAGCACCGTTGCCAGATGGGGAACTGGCACCCCATGTCCCAGGTGGCCTCAGACCATCTCAAGAGGGATGAAACAAAGTAGAGCCCACCCAACCCTGAAGTTTCAGGAAACCTTCCCATCCTGCAACAAGACTGAGGGAGAAGGACATGACACAGAAGCTACCATGCATGCCCTGACTCTGAATTTAGGTGGGATCCTAACAATGAAGCTACTGTCCTCCCTGCTTCCAGACCTAACATTTATCCTGGGGCAGAGACATTTCCCCCAGATGAACTTTCATCTGATCCTACATGTTTCCACTACAAACTGCAGCAATGAGGAAGTGACATTTTTCAGACAACTGTTCAAGAACTCATTTCAGCTTAGAAAGGTTTTTTTAAAAAATTGCCAGTGGTAGCACACAAACAGAGACTTCCATCAAATTCTGAGCCTAATTGGCTTTCCTACCTTTTCCCCCTTTTTCCTCAATATTCTCTGCCCTAGAAAAGCCTCAGCTGCTCATTTGGAGCACTTTACACACATCACCGCTTCCTGAGCTGTCAACCTTTGCATGAGAGGATAAAAACCTGACCTACTAAGCAAGCAACCTTTGCAACGTTTCCCCCCCCAGTGCTTTGATATCACAGACATCTGCACTCTGCTGATGAAAAGCCCAAGAGTACAGCATCGACAGAGAAGAGAGAGCAGCCCCTGTGTACCATGTACTTAGTCAGGCTTCGCCAGAGGCGCCCAAACTCCTGCAGTGTGAGATGTCCATTCGAGTTGAGCTGTGCATTTAGTTAAGAATTTTACAGTTAATAAGAGCTAAACCTTCACATACAGACAGACATAAGTTTCAGTCTCTTCTGTCTGTTACTTTGTGTTGAAAAAGCCAAGGTGCTCTCATTTATACTTAAATTCACCTTCTTAGGCACATTGTGCAGCTGCTCATACCTGTGCTCACAAACAACAAAAGATTACTATTTATATGGTGCCTTTAACCACAAGGGAACCTGCAGTGATTGCTTCAGCTGACGTTTAGCCACGGAGCACAGAGGCCCCTGTGGATGAATGTGTGACCCCATGCTTCAGGCCATGTGTGCACATTGTCTTGCCTTTGAGCAGGAGGCAGCAGAGCATTAGCTCTGGCTGGATCCTCCTGGAGGAATGGGCACTGAAGGAGCCACGAGCATGAGTGGCCGATCCTGATGCCTGCTATCAGAAGGCAGCAGCAGCCTTTGAGCCATGCATATGCCACATGTGAGAAAACACTTCCCCACCCTGAGCTGCAGGAGCCCAGGGGTGTCAGCAGACATCCCCAGGGATGCTCAAAGGACTATGTCCAAAGGATCTGCTCCCCTCCATACATCATCTAGGAGTAGACATGCAACATCTCACATAATGCAGCTAGGATGGTGAGAACTCCCTGAAAGAAAACTCATTGCCAGTGAAACATAAGCAGACAAGTGCCACTGCCATGAAACCTGAGTGAAAAAAGTTGATCCTGTCTTTGCAGGCCAGGATACGTCACACTGCACATGGGTTATATGCAGCCCAGGGAGGGAAAAATCCAACTTGAATTAAAGCAGAGCAGTGGCCTGGTCAGTTCTTTGCATGTGCCATGCATTCACAGTGCCCACTTAGCCCAGGAGGAGCTTTGGAAAGGGGGAAAAGTCTCCTTCACTAGACTCACTCTGTCTAGAGGCAGAAAGCTGGAAGGAGAGAGGGACTTCTGGTCATCTTTATTCACTACCTGAGAGTTTGTGAGGGGCTGAAAATGTCTTAAAGTTGTTTCAAGGCATGGAAGAAAAGAGACAGCAAGCAAGCCATGGGGAGAAAACACACACGGGAGAATTTATGTTTTCATCAAGGAGCCTTCCTGTTCTACAATGGCCAGAAATGTATTTCCAGTGCTGTCTTGTTAACAGTAAAAAGACTGCATGATCCATCTAAATATGGAAGGTACACTGGAAAGGATGAGTGGCCTGCCAGGCAAGTGCCTGGGATTCAGCAATGATAGTGCTTCTCGCACAAACACCAGCTTTGCGGACAGTACTAGCAGCCTGCTCAAGCTGCCATCAGGGGCCAGTGTGGTTGCACAGCTGTGATGGAAGATGCGAGCTATGCCTGAGCTCTGTGCTGCCTCCTCTCCTTGGGCTCTGCTTGGGACCTGCACCAAAAGGTGCTTAGCCAAGCCCTGGGTCTTGCAGAGAGAAAAATGAGAGCAAAGAGTTAGCTGGTAGCAGAAGGTGGATCCTCACCTTTCATCAGGCACACCAGAGCCAGGGCATGCATGGCAAAGTCCTGCATAGACTCTGGGACAGTTATTTATTGAGGACTGTGGCTAATATTTACTTGCAGGTTCTCACACTGGGATGCTCAGCTCAGCCATAACTCAAGGCAAGGATGGGCAGAACTGGGGAAGTTTATTGCTTCTGCTGAAAGGATACATCCATCAGAGCTAAAATGCCTCTGCATGAATCGAAGCTGAATCTTCCTCCCAGACTGGTCATTTCATCTGCAAGGAATGACAAAACAGAAGGAATTAGTGAGAACAAAATGAGTGACAGAGGCGTTAGGTCACCAGAGGGAAAAGAATACCAGTCTGAAGGCTCACATGGCTAAAAACCCCCAGATCTGGCTCAGGTTCTCAAACAGCAGCAAGGGCTACATGGCAGGATGAGGTCCATTGAGGGAGTCTGACATGTCTCAGACATCTCCTACTCCCTTCCCCAAGGACACGTGCACTGTTTGGGATCACAGTTTGCTGCTCTGCATAGTATCTGCCCACCTACCTGCCCTGATGGAAATTCTTGCCTTTTGAAAGAAGGATAAGGGGAATTACAGTGACAAGAAAGGCCATTTATGCTGAATTAGCGAATCCTAAAAGCACTCTAAATCTCGTGAATGACTGAGTTGGTTTGGGTCCTCTGGCTGTGCCCCTGTCTCAGGCTCTTTCTGAGGTGGGCAGGTTAGGAAGTCTGCGAAATGGTGAAAGCCAGCTCAAGGCCTCTGCAGAGGAACGATGCGGGCCAGGGCTGAACTGGGAGGAATTGGTTGACAGTGAAGAGAGTGTGGTGCAGCACATCTAGGGACTGAGTTCCTGCTGCAATTTGTGGGGTGCCAAGCAGAAAGGGGGGGGCTCATGGGGGCTGCAGCGACATCCAGGAGAAGGGCAGAATAGGGTAGAGTAGGTCTGCGAGCTGAGGCTGTCCCTTGGCAGAACTGGGAAGGGGAGAAGGGGGTGAAATTTGGATGTCAAGCAGATGCACAGCCTTGCTGATGCCATGCATTAAAATAGTCTGTCAGCAGCTGGTCTGGGTTGCATTGCCTCTTCTTCATGCAAATATTTCTTTGATTTTCTTTAAAAAATAAAACCAAACGGTTGTGTATGTAAAGGAACCCCGGTGGAGGCACTTCTCATTCTTCCAAGATCCAACAGTGCAGTAAGCCACACAGAGGATTTTTGGAGGACCATCAGGACACCACTAAATCCTCTGTCTAATTTACACTAGACTAATGATAGGGAAGCACCAAAGACATTAGCTGGGTTGTAAAACCTTTACCTTGCAGGATCACATCATTAAGGAGTTGTTGCAGCTGCGAGGCATCAATAGTTGAGCCCTAATGCAGAATAAAATGCAGAGAGGTCTGTGAACATAAAGTTTTCTCCTGTGTCACTTTTGCCTGAAACTTCTTTACTCGTGCACTGTGGCAACCAGGAAGGACCTCTGCTTACATCAGAGCAGCAGCAGCATCCCCTTGGGAGAATAACAAAGCCCTTCATGCTGCTGGGTCACTCATTGTCCTTCCCTAAAAGAGTCTTCAGGGGAGTTACAGGCAGTCCCATCACCATGGGGTACTTTCAGCAGTGATGGGAACACTTGCTGACTTCACCAGCCCCTAGCTGGGGAGCTGCCGATGGGCAGGCGCAGTAGGCAGCTGGGTGAGTGGACTGGGAGCAGAGGAGCTTCTGCCCCCTTCCCTCTGAGCCGCCCATGGGTGAACCTGACTGCTCCCACCCCCAGGGCATTCAGCATGGCAGACAGCATTCTTTTTCACCTTCATGCACTGATATAACTATTAACTGCAAGAGGTCCATTGTGCAAAGACTTTTGGCAGTTATTTTTTTTTCCTCTTGACTAAGTCGAGGAGTTCTTTGTAACAGTTTATTAAACCATTGAAAGCATCTCCTGTGAACACACAGACTTTGGCTCTGAAAGAGCAGGAATCAATTACTCAAATGCTGACTGATGTTTGGTTTCCAAATGCCGTGAAGGCAAGTGGAAAATGATGCTGATGAGAGGATGGAATACCCAAGGCTTTCTAATTGCTTTCAGTAAATAAACAAACTAAAGCCAAAAACCTAAAAAAGTACACATGCAAGCCCACCACCAGCACAGCCATAAATCTCCAATCCTCTGCTGATATATGGGGGTAGCCAATCTATCCGAGGTGAACGTCCCATTTTTCTGGGGGTTTTGGCAGGTCAATCAATACTGTTTTCAGGGTATCCCCTTGAGGATGGAGCTACATTTCCAAAAAACATTTTTCTAAACGGATTTGTATCAACATCGTAGATCAGTTTTTCTTTTTAGAAAGCCCACATGCTTTTTTTTTTTTTTTTTTTTTTTTTTTTTTTGTCTTTCCAGCAAGATGCTTTAGATAGGATACCTGCTTAGTGTATCTTAGGAAGACAGCCTTATAGGATCTGTCCTGGTTCTGTCTTGGTACATCCTGGATCAAAGACAAAGTATGTCCATAAATAATTCTGTATCAAAACAGCTGGAGGCACAAGTCCCCAGATCCAAACAACACTTTAGAGAGGGCAGAGAATGTACAGGCTGCAGTTTTAACACCCCAAGAGTAAAGTGGACTAGGAGTGATGAATAGCTACTGCAATGAAGGAAGAAGCATAGTTTGGATGTTATCACTTAGTATAACCAGGAAGGAGCACCTCAGGGCCTGAGGAAGACAGAAGAACACACTCAGGGTAGAGTTCAGCATGTCAATACATGAGTATAGAGGTACAAAGCCTGATCCTTATTGATGCCCTTTGGTTGAAACCACTGGCTTAGTGCACGTGAAGATTCATGTGAATGAAGAAAATAGAGAAGTAGTTGACTTTTCCTTTCTCTTGTACCTTCTCAAACCCAAGGCAGGCTTGACTGTACCTGAGCAATTGCAATTCAAAGGTTAAGTGACTTTTTTCAACCCTTCAGTGAGGAGATCCACCAGAGACTAGGGGGAACTACCCTTAACATTATAAAGTTTCCCAAAGACTAAGCCTAAACCCCAGTGCCTTCAGATCTGTGCAAGATAATTCAAACCAGTGAAGCCCAAACACCTAAACAAGAATAGAAAGTGTGGTGTGGGTACCATAATTCAAAGTCAAAACACTGGCTAACAATGACAGCTGAGCAAACTGACAGCTTGTCAGTGGAAAGAGATAATAAGCCACCATTTACACTACCCCTCTAATGGGGCTTAATTGCAGGCTGGAAAGTGAATCACAAGGCAAGGACTCTGTTTTCTGTTCTCCTGAAGCAGCTTTACACCTTTGGCTTCAAAGACCTGCGCTGAGTTTACACTGCTATAAATAGCAGCCTCTCTCAGCAGCAGGATTTTGCAAGCAACCACTGAGACAGCAGCATGGACTGGAACAGCTCTGGCAATTTGCACAGTTCACAACGAGGAAGTCCAGCAACAGATGGTTGCTGAACAGGCTAAAATGTAGGTTGAACCATAGCTGGTTATTTCTCCTTCATGTCAGGAACCAAAGCAAACCAGTTTCAAAGTATAAATCCTCTTCCATCTCTGTAGATACTCTGATGATCAGAAGATATCTGCGCTGGGCCTCATTTTATGGACTCCTGTGCTTTATAGGGTTCAGGCACTTAATCAAAACCATTCCCATGGGGAAGGCATGCATGACCTGCTCTCAGGTATGAGGTCTTTTAAAAAGAGGTCAAACTCAAGCTGTGACATTTTCATCAACGTTTTCCCCTCTCTTCTCCTTGGGTACATACCCATTTTACAGACATTGCAAGAATTTAGTATCTTTGAAATGTTCTCACCCCTGCTGTATTTGCTTGGTCAAAGTGTTAAAGGTGGCAAGGTGAAAAGGATAGATGGACAGGATGATAGGGGGACTATATAAGATTTGTTTCCTTCAAAAATCTGAAGAGACATGTGTGAAGAGGAAGTGCTTCATTGTCACTCCTGTCTCTCCAGAGAGGTACCCCCAGCTGGTCACCTGCTCTCCCAGCAAGGTTTCAGGGTGCCAGAGTCAAACTCTGGAACAGGTGCTTGGGTGGTGAAAGGAGAGAAGAGCAGAGTGGTGTCTGTCTGGTGTGTGGGAAGGAAGAAATGGAGTCAGTATAGGTGGCTACTGAATGGTCAGCTCTCCGGGAAACATCCACCACCACCAGTATCTACATCAATTTTCAGAGTTTCTTACCATTGGCAGCACTGGGTTGGGCGGGAAGTTTGAGTTCCTAGAAAAGAGTTACAAGAGTCAAACTGAGAGAGAAGCTGCCTTTTCAGAGCACTGATCTGCAGATGTGGCAGAAGGCAGGCACTAACAGGAGCACTCACCCAGCCCAGGGCCCCACAGGGTGCCCAGGATGCACACTGCCCAACCTGTCCCAGTTCAGCCAAGCCTGTTGCACCAGTCTTAGGTTTCTCTGTGCAAACAGACATGAGCAGGCCTGAGTCTCTTGGCTGCTCTGGGGCCACTGCCTTCCTCAAGCTGACCCTGCTGGCACCAGCAGCAAAGGGTCACTTGTCTCACTCTGAGCATGCCAGGACTAACCTCACCACACAGAAGACAGGGCTGCCCTGCCTTGAGACACATGAAATTTTCACCTGCTTTCTCTTTGCCTAATTTAATAGGAATAAAACCAGCACCTTGGCTATTAAAAGGCAACATCTTTTAAATGTCTGCAGACCACCTGAAATTGAGATGGGACCACCATTCCTTCTGAGACTCACTTAGTAACACTGAATACTTGAGTTTTGCTTTTGGTAGAGAAATTAGGTAAGCCAGATGCTATTTTCATAGCATCTGTGCTATTATATAGGCTAGTGCTGCACAGACTCACAGGAGGAGGATACCCACGCGTGACCTAGCTCAGGAAGGTCTGTGAGGGTCAGAATCTCTCCTGGAAAGTGCTACCTTCCAAGGCTGAGCAGTCTTGTGCATGACATCATGCTGAAGGCAGTCCAGCCCAAAACGCAGACTTCTCATATTTGTTTTCCATAACTAAGGAGTTGCCTTAGTTTGTTCTGGGCTATTTTTGTCAGAGGCCAAAGCCTAGAAAACAATCTCATTATTAAGATATGGGCCTGTGAGTTAAGATCTGCAATCACCTCTACTATAAAGCTTCCTGAAAGAAAGCCGCTGCACATCTGATGCTTGAAGGTCATTTGGTAAGGCTGAATGCTGGGGCTTGCTCTTTACTTAAAGCACACCCAGATATTTACCTGAAAATGTGATAATAACTGCCTTTGCATGAACTAAGATACCATTTTCCCACTAAACTTGTCTTCAAGGTTCCTCTTGTACTCACAGGGAGCCCTATCAGCCTGTCTGTGAGATGACTGGGTGAAAGGATCAAGGCCTTCACCACTCTTTCCTTCTCTAGGTCCCCCTCTGAATAGAATGGAACCTGATCTGTCTGGTGTCAGGCTGGCATAAACATAAGAAACTACATAGCAGATATTAAGAAAAACAAGGTCTCAGTCCTCCTTTCAGTAAAGAGATATATCCCCACACTTGGGGCAGAGGGGGCATATCTCACACTTATTGTTCACTTTTGTGGCTCTTTGTACCAAAGCTGAGACTCTTGGTAGTTGCAGATGAGGTATCGCCCTGTTCTGCAGTGGCCACCCCTGTGCATCTGACTATACATCTGATCCCTCTCAACATGGTGCTTAACTCTTGTCTGTGTCTTCCCAACATGCTTCTAGAGTATGTTAAAAGCAAATTGCCACATTAGTTATCTTGACATGAAATTGTTACATCTTTGTACACTGTAAGTCTGGGGCCTTTAAGGAGTACTTGTCATCTTACTCATTGTAGTCTTGATTCTTCATGAAAATTCGTAAGAGAAATTCAAATTCTTGGTCCTCTGTAGTAGCAGGAACAACAGCATAGGTTCCTGGGCTCAAGGTAAAGTATTTGGTTACATCTCGAGTCCGGGAAAATTGTTCCAGAACTTTGGAGTTCTCCTGAAAGAAAAACCATAGCTGGTTATTTCTCCTCCATGTCAGGAACCAAAGCAAATCAGGAAGTGCATCCACAGCAGCCTTACATTCCCACAGTTCTCTAAATATACATTGCATCTAAAATGCCTTAACCTCCCTAGTGGCACGAAAAGCCCATCCAGGTGACAGACTTTGTTCAAGGACACATAAAAAATGCACACAAGTGGAAGAACTGAAAGAAGCAGAAGGCAAAGTGATTGTGAGTCGATTTGAAGAGAACTTCAATTAACATTAAGCAGACTGGAGTTCATGAAGCAATCAAGGATGAATACTCTTACTAAAACTTTTCTGACATCTAGCGTGACTCAGAATGGTCAGAGAGCTCACTAAGCATCTCACCCAGATGACAATGCTTCAAGAATCACAACACAAATCTTCCAGCAAGTGTCAAAAGAAAACAAATATTCTGATCTTTCTTCTGTTATTCGAGTATTTTTGCTGAGATGAAACAAATATAATGCAACTGCTATTACTATGATGACATGTAAAGATAGCATAATAAAAACCCCTTACTAAACATATTCCCCAAAATACATCAGCATGTATAAATTCCATTTAGAATGGTTATACAGCGTGGCAGAGTTATTTATGAGCCATGCCTTTGGGAGAAAATAACATAAAACTGCTATTTTGGGAGAAAAAAAAAAAAAAGATGACTACTGTTACAGACAGCTGGGAGGTACGTAGACTGCCAAGTATTATGGGTCGGATCTTGAGCAGATAGAAATGGGCAGTGCTGCAAAAATAAATGGTGTAATTCTTTTTTTACTTTTGGGTCTCATTTCACATTCCTTCTGGTAAAAAGCAGAAGCAGATTAATATCTCAGTGGAGTCAAAACCAGTGTGAGATAAGAATCAGCCTCTATACCTTGCTCAGCTCTATCACACAACATTAAACTTCCCTCACAGCCAGGTATTAGTGTTCCACGTCTATATTTAATCAAAGGCTTCCTAGAGCTATCAGATATGTCCATTCTGGTTTGCATCCTTGCCTGTACTGTATTCCCCTCTCATCCTGCCAAGGTATAATATACTTTTTACTTCACAACAACAATTTGATTCACCTCAAAAGGTAGAGAACAATGAATGATGCTGCTAATGAATAATGGCAGTGAAAGCAGTACAGGGAGGAAGAGTGAAGTCACACAAACCTTAACAATTGTACACCCCTTGTGCAAAGAAAAGCCCTTGTAAATGTAGATGCACGAAGACGCCACCTCTGTCTTCCCTCAAGCACTGAGGCTAGACACTGGGAAATAAAATGAGGGAATAGCACTGTACCTACCCTGGTTTTAGCTCCTGGACTTGGCTTTTGTTGCTACCAGGGCAGCACACTGGGCTGGCTGTGAGGAGCTGGTAGACCAGCTCTCATGTTAAAATACTTAAGATTTGTCCATGGGGGAATACTTTCTGTATAAGCTGCTGTGTGGATTTGTACCGGTTTTGTTATATTACTAAAAACTATGGCGTGACAGAGCAGCATAGCTGTCCCCTTTCCCTCACTGACCAGGTGCTCCACAGTAATCCTGGTGTCTCTAGTAATGGTCTGTTCTGACCTTGCCCTTCAACTCCTGCATAGGAGATCATCTAGGATCAGAAGCCCAAACTGAGCCCAAGGTGAGCTATGGGCTGACAGCCTGCAGAGGCCATGTCATACAGACTTGAGATACTCATCAAATTTCATACATCCTTGGGAAGATACCAAGAGAGAAAATCTAAATGAACACACCTGAGCATCAGCTGGAGGGGAAGAAAGAAATTTTAACTATAAAGCAAGAATAGAGCAAATCTGTCCCCTGGTCTGCTTCCTAATTAAACAACCTCTTTTCAAAGGATCCAAGACCTATGCTATCACCTCCCAGTGAGGGTCATTTCTGTTAAAATGAGTAACTAATTAAGGCAGATACACACCATGCAAGAGCATGTAGGGATCTCCACGTCTGGAAACTGTTGGGGGACAGCTGAGGAGGATGCTGGAAGGAGTGAGTTCCCCATTTACCAGGAGTAGCAGATCTTTCTGAGTGGCACAGCTGGCCCCATGGAGTCCTGCAGGCCTGATATCTGCACTGGGCAGAGGATCTCCTTGCATAGGGATAGTGAGTTCCACTTGCTGGAGGGATGCTCTTTTTATGGCATCTTTTATTTCTCCGACACTTTTTTTTACGAGCTACAAAGCCAAGCTCTTCATTTATGAGGAGCTGTTAGACTTATGGCATCAATTATTCAAAGTCTGGGACTAGGGCAAACCTCTCCACTGATTGGGAGAATGTGAAGTTAGGGTCATAGCAGTCTCTGCTTTCTTTTCTTTTATTCTTCAGGTTAAAAACAACGCCCTCCCACCCTCCTCAGCCAACAACAAAAACATTTTGGAAAAGGCTAGCATCCATCCACACTAGCAACTGAGCTTTCAGTAAGTCTGGTAATGCTCTGACAACAACTGCCCTTGAAATGGCACCTCCCTGGAGAGTCACCAAGACAAAAAACGAGGGAAATTGTAGTGAAGGTCCCAGGTATCTTAGTGGATTACCTCTGCACCAGTCTTGAGCAAAGCCTTGCATGTGTTTTGTAAATGGGTTTTGCATAGCATTTCTGCCATACAAAAGAGGGGATGAGCAAGACAGACCCGTTTTGGGGAACAAGAGGCCATTTGCTTCCCTACTAGACCTAGAGTACTGCTCAAGCTCTGTGGTTAGTGCTGGCTGTCATGCCTTGTGCCAGGACAGCAAGGGAAGTCACCAGTACTGCTGGGCACAGGGGATATTGCCTTGGCACATCTTGTAACCTGGGGACTCCCTGAGTTTCCCAGGGCTATTTTGGGATGTTACAGAACTAAAAGTTCAACCTTTCCTCTCATAAAACACGAATAAAGGAAACTTTAGGCTGAGCCTGCCTAAATCTACTTTTCCTGTGATGTTCTACAGTAGAAAGCATCCAGAAATTCACTCCAAATACTGATTGCTCTCTTTTTATAGCCCAAAAGAAAATTCAGTCTTTCAATTCCACGTACAGGTATAATAAGCAACACAGAAGACAACAGTGCCTACATGATACCTGAGTGTGCTTACCATGGTGATCAAAAAGCCAATCTTCAGGGTTTTTGCATTGTGCATATCCTCAGCATGTTTTTGCATGAGTGAAACGACTACATTATAGGGTTTTGAGTCATAATCTGGCACTTTGAAAAAATACTGAGGGTTTGTTGAAACTGCACCTGCTGAGAAAGTGTTAATAGATTAATAGTAGCCACATAGATGTCCCCACAGTAACCTATTGTGTAAGATCTTGCTTATAATAGACCCAGAGGAATAGGTAGTTACTGTTCCAAGATCCTTTCAATACAACAGGGCACTACAGCCTCTACATTACCAGCAGGACTTGAGGCATCTGGAGTTAAACTAATTGCACATTAATCATTCTAGAAATCTCTGGCAAAGTCATAAGTCATGCAGATTTCTCAGCCCCGCTACATCTGCTTCACCTCCATGGAGCACTTTCCCTGAGGCACAAAAGCAGTGATTCTTAATCAGCCTAGTGGCTGAGGTGAAAAGGATTGTGGCTCGGAGATCATGAACGCATAAAAGAAAAAGACAAAATGGTCCAAAGCTATCCTCCCCTTCCTTCCTGTTAGTGTTTGTGATGGACAAGACAGACTGTTGAGCACCAGAGGGGAAAGGCTTCTTCTTGGCCAACATTTTGGTTAACAGGAAGTGTCCCTGATAAGAAAGCAGTAAGATGCCCAACCTGGGGAAAAGGGACTTAGAAGTCAGTATCTGCTTAAACCAGTCTAGACTTTAAGCCATGTAGGTGTGTTGGGTGGCCTTGAAAGATGCAATTTACAATTAATGCGATTGTACTTGGACAGGAACTTTACTAGAGGGTTGGTGAAAAACACAGTTCCAAGGAAACTGGCTCTGCCCACATGCTCTCAGTTCAGGCCCTGCACCTTCTCACTCAACCCCAGTACCCATGGTGTGGCAGCAGCAGAGGCATTGCTTTGTTATCACTCCGTGAGACATGACAATCAAGGTTATGAGGAGGAGGCTGAAACCTGTAAGCCAAAACCTGTTTGCTGCTAAATCAGGGATCAGCATTGCAGAAAAACGAAGCTACTTCACTGACCACATACTACCATTTTAGATTAAAAACAGAGTTGAAATAATGATGTAGCTGTAAAAAAAAAAAAAAAGAGATATGCTGAGAAGATAATTTTTTTTTTTTTTTAAATACCACTAATAATTGGAGCTTGCAATGTTGGAAGAGTCCTTGCACAGGCAGTAAAAACACTGGATTTATCTGCTCAGAGCCTTTCTACCTTCGAAAATAGAGTTTTGTAGCACAATTTTTCATTTCATATCCATTTAATTTCAGAGGTCCCCAGTAACACCCCAGCACCTGCCTGAAAGAAGACAGACAAACACATTTTGATTTAAAGAGTTCAGTGTCTCTAAACCAAAAGTCTCCTGTTTTAACTCAGCAGCCACTGCTGCTGCTTTGTTTCTGCCTCTTTAGCTGATAGGTGCTGTAATGGAAAAGGGCAGGCATTAACAATCAGCAATCAGTATTTCTGCAATTCGGTGCTCAGAGTGAATGTTTCACTGTAAGCACCACTGGAGAGGAGGAGAGGACTGGGTGACTGCAGTGAGCGTTCATTACCTGGGGAATAGTTCCTGCCTGTGGCAAGGACTGGACTCCACAGGTTGATGTGGCTGTCCACGGACCACTTTGTGCAGTGCTGATCTCCAAAGTCCAGAAAAGTTGGGGTGCTGTTACATATATACAGCCAGGAAAACTGCTCCTGGAAGTTTTCACAGGACATCCTGCAGAGAAGGAGAAAATCTCACCTTTCAGTTTGAGGCACAGGTCAGGCACTCATGTTCACCCCATGTCTTTAACAGGGGATTACAGAGAGCACTGCAGGCTCTAGCTGGGCTGGCTGATACCTTGCAGAAGAGGTCAGCTCTCAGTCATTTGGCATTTGGACTGCCCTAACTGCACCTAAAGCCCCAGGGAAATTATAGGGCATGTTCAGTGGTACCTAGGTGGAGTCTTGCTGTCTCCAGCACATCTTTGCCACTGCACCTTGCTTTGTCCTTCTGCAGTGTCCTGCCCCAAACTCAATCCTGCAGTGTCTATGTCAGACCAGTCTGCTGTTCCCCTGCTTTCCTCAGAGCCTCATGGGGCAAGTGTGCACTTCCTGAATAATAATAGCTTTTCTAAGGGATGGCTCACACATGGTGAAACTGGATCTGAGAGTAATCAAGAGGCAGTGAAACACCACAAGCACCTGCAGAGCAGTCAAGTGCACAAGCTCTACAACCTGCTCAGCCACCTGTAACCCCGAGTGCCAGCCAGGCCAAGGTTCAAGCTAGGCACGTTATGGGGAAGGGCAGTGTGACCAAATGACTAAGTTTCAGGGAGATGGATTTTTACTTCTCTCATTTTTCATTTTTTTCACCAGCTTGTTACTTGATCTTGGCCAGCTCCACTTCTCCAAGTCTTGTTCCCTCTGATTTGCTGTTTACACACAGCTAACATAGGGTGCCCTGAGCCATCACTAAGAGCAGAGAACTGCCTAAATGACCCTTTTTTCATAACAAATGCAAAGAGAAAACCTGGTAGACAGAAGGACTGATAGGAAAATACCAGAATTCTCCATCATCCTTATTTCTGAGGAGGGCTTCTCTGCATTTAGGCTCAACATGGTCCCACTGAGGAGAGCTGTAAACAGGAACAAATCAACAAGCAGATGTGAGGCACAATTTTCCATCTCTTTGGCCAGCCCATTTCTCTAACCAGTCCATCAAGTCACAGAATCGCAGAATCATTCAGGTTGGAAAAGACCCTTGTGATCATCGAGTCCAATCATCAGCCCTACTCTACAAAGTTCTCCCCTACACCGTTTCTCCCAACATCTCATCTAAACGACCCTTAAACATATCCAGGGATGGTGACTCCACCACCTCCCTGGGCAGCCTATTCCATTGTCTGACCACTCTCTCTGTGAATTTTTTTTTCCTAATGTCCAGTCTAAACCTCCCCTGTTGGAATTTAAATCCATTCCCTCTTGTTCTGTCACTAATCACCTGTGAGAAGAGACCAGCACCAACCTCTCTACAGTGTCCTTTCAGGTAGCTGTAGAGAGTGATGAGGTCTCCCCTCAGCCTTCTCCTCCTCAAACTAAACAATCCCAGCCATGAGAGAGCAGGACGGGTGAGCAAACTGCATGTTGGGAAGAGGACCGTGCTTGATACTTTCACAGCCAAGGCCAGTGTACAGAGCTCTGCACCTTTGCTGTGCCTGAATTGCCCACCATGGGATGAGGAATTCTGCCTCTGCCCTCCAAGCCCCAGTCACCTCTCCCCATGCTGGAGAGGTTAGTGAGGTATCAAGGCATAGCACTCCGAAGTGCTGATATTACAATGACATGTAGAGGGCACATTAGCCAGTCAAATGTGTTGTTCCTAAGCAGCATGTTTATAATTAAGTGATAATTGTACTTTCTGCAGAGTTTAAGATAAATAAACAGAGCATGAATCAATAATTTACTGATTTATGCAGCTTACCTGCAAATGCGCTCTACTGACATTTCAATTACAGTTAGGATTATAGTTCACTCTTCCAAAAAATGGGAGGATGCTGTCTGAGCAGATAGCTGTTATCCCAGCCTTAAACATGTCTGCACCACCCGCCAACCCATCCAGACACAACACGCTAGCCTGACTTTTCTCAGCAGAGAAGTTGTGAGTGTTCCTAGCAACAGGGAGAGGTGGGATGCTATTAAATCACTTAAGAGTGACACATGAACATATCTCTAGTCAGGAAAATACTGATGCAGTTCCACCAGGAAAACTAACATTATTTATTTACAAAACAATGTTGCAGTCCTACTCTGTTTCATTCCTTTCCTCACAAAAGAGGTTAGCTTATACACACAGCAGCAAATTGGCCCTTGCATCTCCGAAGCTGCACGCAGTATCTAAATAATCAGTTCAAGCCATCCAGCAGCATTTTGCCTTTGCAATAACTAAAGACCTTTTTTGTCTCTCTGTGTTCAATACTGCATAAAAATAGTGCCCTACTCTCATGGATTCTGCTAACCATCCTCTTCCCAGATTCAGACTCATGGGAGGGGAAGAAGGAGCAGGAAGGTGGATGTACAATTACTGCAGAATTCAATAGAAGCAATCAGCCACCATCTAGGGGCACAGTCAGAGTTTATTTCAGGTAATAACAACTCCTTCATCCATGACTTATCTGGAATTACCTACTGGGAAAAATTTACACATAGACAAAAAGGGATACCTGAGCTAGGCCTAGTGAGCAGCACATATAAAACCACTGCTGCATTAGTTTTCCCTGGATTGGATTTCTTCGGACAGTTGATTTGCAGATGGAAATAACACTTGTAATGAATTGGTTTAGAAATGTCTGCTTCATTATTATGGGTGCAAGGCAGACATCCTTTACAATAAGCCTATAAAAGAATGGCTATGCTTATGAGATTAAAGCTTGAAGACCATACTTGTCACACCAGGGCCCCTTCCACTCCCCATGGCCCCACGGATTCCAGATTCTGATTATATGTTTCCAGCCATTCTTGTAGTGTATCTGTAAAGAGGAAAGAAATATAAACTCAGTCACAGCTTTTCACAATTGTGATATTCAGTGAAGAGACTGGTAATAAAATGGATCTTCTTCTATACCTTGGAGACCTGGTTTAACTTCTGATCTTATTTGGCTGCAGGTAAAAATCAGTGCCTCTTCCTACATCATAAAGGAATGACGTGTGGGAGAAAACTGAACCCACTTTGCTTTCCTGAGGACAGTGAATAGCTGACACAAAGGGAAGCAGTGGCATTCCTGTCACACCACATGACTTCAACGGCCTTGGGAAATACTGGTGCCTAAGACCGCACATCTGATTCTGTGAGTCAGCAAAGGCAGAGACTTTGAGGAACGAGGTCATCAGACTGCCTGGAGAGAATGTCGACAGCAGGAGAGATGTTGATAAACAGAATCTGTGGCTCTAAATCTACAGTACTGTGGTTTCCAACAGCTGGAGTTTCTGGTGCTTTTCTCCTCTTGCTGTCACTGGTTTAAGCCAGAAGCAATCCACCTGTGCCAGTGAAGCCAAAATGGTGGAAGTGGAAAGGAGAAGCAAACCTTTTGTTTCCACCTCTCCTTACGCACACAGGCAGTGCTGGAAACAAATATCATGGCAGTCTCTTCTCAGGCAAAGGCCCAGGCCCTGGCCAACCTCAGACGTTTCCCCACAGGACACCCCCCTGGATGCCTTGACACTCCTATAAGGTGGGACAAAGGCTGTTTCTCCTCTCAGGCCACATCATGAGCAGCAGGAAGCTGGAGCAGCCTGCTTCCTCTCCTTTCTTGGGGATAGCCAGCTGGGCCTTCTCTGGAGCCTGGCAATCCCCATCCTTCCATTTTGGAGCCTCCTGGCTACGAGCAAGTGACCTCCCAGAAGAAGCACACCAACCGATGATGGCACAAAGCATCCATGACATGAAGGGCTATGGTCTAAAGCCAAGCTCACACAGGAAACTATCGAAGAGAGGGGGAGAAGGGAGAAAATAGCTCAGGGAAAACAATGTCGCCTTTCCAAAATACTTTAGGTTCTGAGATTAAAATGTGTTGTAGGTAGCTATCTTGCTTGATAGCATAGCCACTGTTTGGTTTCTTTCTTGGCCTTGCTCACTGTTAACTCTCCCTGTGTGCGCTACAGCTTACTGGGGTAAGCCATGTTTTGACTTGTGGTTGTAAAAAATCCTTCATTTCTTTTGATCTGTGTGATGAATTAGTCCTGTTTTCAGATCAGCAATATTAATATCTAGCCAGGAGAATTTCTGCAATAGTAAAACAGCTTTGAAAAAAGGAGAAATGCTGTTCTTGAAGCAGCAAGTTATTTACTTTTCACACAGTGATTTCTGACAGCTTGTGATTGAGTTGAACATATGTAGATTTGCATCATATGACAAATCCCACAATTTCAGCCAGTGCTTCTATTCCCATTTGAAACAAGAAAAGTGAATTTTTTAAGAGTCAGCATGGAATGAAAATCCCCAGAAATGCTGTATTTGCTGTTGAAGTGTCCCAAAACAAAAGTGAATTTAAGTTGCATTTTTCCGTTAGAAAAGATTATAGGATTCAGATATCCTCCCTCTTCCCATTGTGCCAGAATCTTTCCAACTCCTGGAATTTGAACTATGTGCTTTCAGCAATCCCTCCTAAGCGTGAAGCTAATTAAAATTACTTTGAACAGAACAGCAGTGTGACTGCCCTGTAGTAGATCACCAGGTCAAGACCACCAGGCAGCAACAAGTCCTTGATCTTACCTTCACAGCTCCTGTGACAGTGTAGGCATGACCCTGTACAATCCCATTCCTCACCTCTATGTTTCTCTTCAGCTGCAGAAGGGAGAAAGCACAGCTTTTAGCTCTCTGTCAGACAGCAAAGGTACAGCCACGAGCTCCCAGAACAGTCATTTGGCATGGCAGAAAAAGATTTGGGTTTGACCACAGCAGTATCTCAGATACACTGGCTCCAGAGGAATGTGTCTGTTGTTCCCACTGCAGCCAGAAGCAGGCTAGTAAATTTAACAAAACTACAGGTCTTTACATATTTGCAAGTCAATGGTCCAGAGCTGCTGCAACTGCAGAATGATCTGGACTGGGTCACTGGCAGAATTTCCCTGCCACTCATACACAGCCCAGCATCAGCAACTGAGCTGAGGGGCTACTCCTCAGCTTGTTTGCAACAGCTGAGCTCCGTGTCCTGATAAACTAGACACTACAGGGGTAATGTCACATACTTTGCAGTCTTCCCTTACATGCTGTAAGGGAAGCATCATAAAGCCTTTTACAATTTCCCAGCATTAATACTAGTAGCTTGCAAATCACAATGTGATAATAGCATCCTCTCACAGAAGAAAGGTATTTTTTGGCCTTGCTAGAATCAATCACAAAGCTATGAGGCCAAAATCAGCCCTGCTGCAAGAGAATACCACTCTATCACAGTAGAATTATCCAGGAGAAAAGCCACAGACCCCTCTCTGGCAGATCAATCCATCTACATCTACCTAAAAGCCTTTACATTCCTTACTGCATAACCTTATGTACTTTCTGCTGCCAAAGATCTCTTCTGGTATCCAAAAACTATAACTATTGCATGGAGTGATTATGGACTTCCTTTTTCACTCAAAAGAGCAATCTTTATGCAAATATGGTAAACCAAAAAAGGCTTGCTACTGGCCCTGTGACTCACCGAGCCTGAGGTGCTACACCCCATCAGACAATGAGATTTATCAGCTGCTTTCAGTATCTCTTCCAGATCAGGAGGGGGATTCTTCAATGAAAATTCCATTTGGATTCCACCTGTGAGGTCTACTAAAGCATCAGAAAGGTAGCCTCCATGCAAAAAAAAAAAAAAAAAAAAAAAAAGAAGTTAATTAGTCCTTACACTGTGTTTTAACAAACAATGCACAGTGATGGTTTCCAAAATGGACACACACATCGAGGTGATGATCATGGAGTGAGCCCAGGGTGTGTAGACATTGGGGCCAGGTAATGAAAAGAAATGTGACTGAAATACATGGCCAGACACAACACGTCCTATGGAATGAATGAGGCAAAGAAGGACATTTTTCTATGTATTCACCCATACCTGAGGCAGCTGTCTAGAGTCATATACAGACACTGGAAAATAATAAGGTGCATCTCATGCCAAAGCAGACATTTTAGGGAGATGAGCTGCATTTCAAAGTATTCAGCTTCCTCCTTCTGAACAGGAAGTCAAGGGTGACTAGTTCAAATGGATCTTTCATATCAAATGGAGCTGAACTGTTAGTTTCTACATTGTATTTTGTCATGACTCATCACAAAAATGGCAAAAATCACTTTTGCAAATGAGAAATAGGAAGAAGAGAGAGGTGAAGGTATTTGCACATTCTCCCAAGGCAAGACAGAAACAAGTTTTCAGCACTGTTCCCAATTCACTCTGCTAGAGTGCAGTAATAGGATAATAATTTAATATTGCCAACACAGTCCTTGTTTTTATCGTGTGCCTTTTATTGAGACAGCAAATAAGCTGGAACATGCTGTACTTAGAGCAGGTAGAGCATGCTGTTAAACCCCACCATACACACTGTATTTAATGAATGTAATCAAATGAAGTCTGCAGCTAATTGTATTTTGAAGGGTTGTCCTTGTCCTACACTGATGAAAAGAATTTGTCATGGGCACTGGGGAAAAACTTCTCAAATGGGAATCTCATAAACAGCATCGCTTGCAACTTTAATTTAATAGAGGTTTGGTTTGCTTTGTAATTAAAATCTTATGCAGGAAATTGATACTGAATCCTGAGTCAACTTTTCTGAGATATCTCAGGGCAAAATGTATCCTATTCCTGAGTTGCTCAGATGCTGCTTTAACATTTGCTCATTCCTGACCAAATCTGCCAAAACAATTAGCTCTCTTCTTCAGCTCCTCTTTACTGAATTGCAAATGTTACACCAGCTTGATGTAGGGCATGGGTATCAAGTTCCAGTCCTTCATACTGCCCCTAGCACAGGAATTTCTCTTCAGTGTATTTAATAATGGGCAATGCTAAGGGACCACACTCTGATCCCTTCACTCCTCAGAATTTTTAAAAATTATTGTATCTTTATTAACATTATTAACCTTTCAGTACTCTGGGGACCTCAGCCAAGAATCAGAGCTCTCTGCATGAAGTGAGAGCTTACCAGAGACTCACAGGAGTGCATGTGTTGTGCCTGGGCATGTTCTTCAGTCATATTTCCTTTCATTGCCTGCTTCAAATATCTGCATGATCTCTGATTAGTGACTGTAAACAGAGGTAATCCCTGCTCAGAGTCTGCAGTTTTAAACAGAGAAAAATATGGAGAAGAAAACAGGCAAAGAAGTTTGCTTAAAGAAGGAGATGCCCAGCCCCTTTTGTGTCACCAGCCATTATCTGATTCAATTTAATTCTCATTTTAATTCTCAGGGATTAACGTCCCTGAGTTGAACTAGGTACATTTAGGTCTTCAGCCTGAGACCAACATCTCCAGGTTATGTTGTCCCTATGTTTGCAAGCAGCCACAGTTCCTTGCATAAGCACAGCACAGCACAAAACATACACAGCTGTTAGCCTGAACTCCTCCCTGTATGCTTTGCGTAAAGCCATAGAAAGTATTCAGCACTGGGTGGAAGAATAGACCGGGTATATTTACTTGGCATATGCTTTTTCCAGCAAGGATGGCCAGAATTCATTTGATGTTCGAGGCTGTACAGACAGGTATCTTCCATTTAGGAATGGTAGCTGGTCATCTATCACTACATCCACCCAGTCTCCATATTGCCAGAACTGGAAATTAAAAAAAAAAAAAAAAAAAAAAAAAGAGAGAAAAGAATGAACCTCTCTTAAGAGCTAGTATTCACACCAAGCAACAGCCACTTGAAATAGCACAGGAATTGAAACCATGAATATGTGCAAGTTTTCTCCCGAACTGTTTCAGGCCAATGGTCCACATTGTTAAACAATCTACCAAGCAGCTGGATTTCCCAGTGGCAGAAGACGACTAATATAAATAGTTCTGTAATCAGTGGGAGGAAAGATTCAACATGGGAAATATGCTAATATTCTTGGGCGATAGCAAGCATTCAAGATGATAAAGAACAATCACGCAGATGGTTCAGTGAGCCTCACTCCTCAGCTGCACTTGGATTTTCCCCTGCAGTACAGCTCTTGGCCAGAGAGCCTCTGTCAAGATCCAGTCTCCAGATTTTCTTTCCTCTGTGTTTCAATTAAGACTCTGACATGCTGTCACGGACGGGGACAGTATAGTGACTAAAGACTGTTTTGAGGTGTTATCCATCTCCTTGATAGATGAGGAGGACACAGGAGGTCTCTCCAGCATGTGGACAGAGCAGGTGTTTCTCCAGCTGATCCAGCTGATGAAACCTTTCAAGGGAGAAGAAAGGGAAAGAGATCTGTGGGGATGAACTAAAGGAGCCATTTCCAGAGTCATTAGCAGATTAATGTAGCTTAGCATGAGTCGCAATCATAAGAGGCCAAGCTCTTATTTGCGGTAATGCTAAGGACTCCAGTGGAAGTATGCCAGCAATAGATTTAGTCTAGCATGATTTTATTTCAACAGCTTTGGTCAATGAAAAACCCCAAAATGAGCTGTTCTGTTAGAAAAGACCAGATCTGCCCAGCAGCAAAGCAGCTTATAGTCTGCTAAGCCAAAAGCAGGTTTGATCCTACTTACATTTTGCCTCACCCCAGCCTCTCACTTCCTACGTTAGTGGCAGCAGGAGGTGGCAGGGTTGGACTGTCTGAACTTGAGCTCCAGGAGTAGTTTGAGGATTCTGATTAATTTTGGCAGGATGGGGTTTGAGGAAAAGCCTGCCTCTGGCTGTCCTCTGCCCAAAAGAGAGACAGGCAAAAGGACAGTCCAAAAGGAGATGTCCTTTTGGTCACCTAATGTGCCCTCCTGTGCCCAGTCAACACCTGGCAGCAGGTCTGTATGGAGAAAAGGTGTGACATCCAGCCACATCTCCCCATGCTGCTTCATGTGCAAACACAACAGGCAAACAGGAGAACAACACAAAACTGGCTGTGGGGCTTAATCCAGTCCAAATCCACTAAGCAACATTTTTTCAAAAGCCAAGTTCCTTGCCCATCTTTGGTAGGGAGCTCAAGCTTGGAGGCCTTCTGAAGGCAGCACTGTACTTTTCTTCAGCTTGATAAAGAGAGCTGTTTTGTTCCTGACTGCTGCAGACTTTCAGATCTCAGTTTTACCTGAGCTGAGAAGGACAGGAAAAGCCACGATAGGGATGAGAAACCTCATGGAATGTCCTAGGATGCTCTGAGAGTGCAAGAGTGGTACAGTAAAAGCCATTCTCTCCCATATGACTTCAGAGAGGGCCAATGGCCCCAGTTTTTGGATTGAGAGTCTGGCATCATGAAATTTCTTTATAATCTCAGGATTTAAAGTACTGCAGCTGGGAACATGATAGTAAATGAAACAAAGAATCCCTATATAGGCAGGCTCCAAAGAGGGAAGTTCTTCACTTCCACATTTGTGGTGAGCCTTTTAAATTAGGACTTTATTTTTCCATGCTTAGAAGAGGAGGAAAAACAAATGGACAGTTGCAAGATGACAACAACATGCCTAGGGTGCTGCTGGTCAGACAGGGAATACTGTGTGGTTATTTGTCCTCCTTTTTTCCTTCCCTTGGCAGGAACCTTAGAGAAATCCAGATCTGGAATTGAGCAAGGTGAAAATCCCATGCCTTTCAACCACACTCTTTTGCGTGGTGCTAGAAGGGACGTTTAGGGTGTGTCCTGAAACTGGGGTCTTGACCACTTAGGGCCTTTAAAGATTTCATCAGTTTCTTCCTAAGAGCAGAGACACTAATGCACAGGGTAGACCCCCCCTGTTTTGAGTTGATGATGCACTGTGCCATAACCTCCTGTGGTCCCTGCAGAATATTTCTGGTTTTTCTCCCAGACTGAGCTGCTGCCGCTCAATATCACAATGCATGGCATACCCTGCCTCACAGGCATCAGAGCTTCTGTGGCAGAGAAAGTGATTCCTATATAAACATGCGACTAACTTAATTCCTGGTGAAATAATGTCATTGTAATTATTCCCTAGATAAAAACGTCACCCATCTTAACTGCAGCTGGTGAAGTGTAACTCTTGCAGCCAAACAGCCGATGTTGTGTAGGAAGGCTGGAGCAGCCCTTTATATTCCTGAGAGGCAACGTGCTCCAGATCCAAAAAGGTGAAAAGTGATAAGCTAAATTTTTTGTATTAGAATGCGATATGCCTTGTTTGCGATTCTTCACTGAACTGAGCACTGGTGGCTTAGCCTGTGGATGACAGTAAAATATCTTTGATGGAATAACTGAAAGGCATTGCCGAGAAGCATTTCCATTCAGAGTAGCTTTCTCAGGGGTCTATTGTTCAAGGAAAGCCAAAAACAGTTGCATTGATTTGCAGATGAGATGATAGGGGAAACATTTTCAAATACTGTAAGGTATTTATACTGCTTAAGATTTAAGGATTGCTCCTAACTAATTTTTTTAAAGCTCTCATGAAAGACAATCTAGCTTGCATCCTTTTAATGTGTTCTAAGCAGACTGGTGTCCCTTCAGCTGGTTTATCTCATACAGTGCACCTCTGCATGCTGGAAATGGGCCAAGACAGAAACATCTGGTATTCTGAGGAACAAAGGAACAGTGTAAAATTTAGACTGCCTGAAAGATAATCCTCCTGGTGCTGCTCTATGAGAGCTCTAGGGGGTCAAAGAAGTCTCACTGTCAGAGCTCTCTGCTTGGTACTGAACTGTGTATAACAAAACAGATTTGTGAAAAAAGAAGGATGATGAATGGCTGAGTATATGCTGATTCCCTCTACATCCAGTTTAGCTTCTGGAGCTTAATGGGACTGCAAGTGCTTCTAGTCCCACAAAGTACTTGGTCAACTCACAAGCAAGCAGGGCCTGCTAGTTACAATCCCAATCACCCTTCTGGGAGATTCAGAGAATTTCAAGAGTTGGTAGAAAAAAAAAGCCTTTCTCCTCTCTCTGAAACAAATCTCTTTGCAAACTATCAAAAGCCTGTTCCTCTGATCTGTCTCCAAGGGTTTGTAATTTCAAGCTGTTTTCATGAGCTGAAAGGGCAAGGTGAGGTATATGGGGAAACAGAAAATCAGTCCAAACAGATAAAGAACACAGGTGTGCTGACAGTCATAATGAACTGTCCAAATCAAAGCAGACACCAGAATGCCATCTAAAACATGTATGTACACAAGTCTATCTGAACAGCTGGTATCTGTACCTCTGGCGTCATAGCTTTCAGAAAAGGGCTTCAAATTCCCTGAAGTGTGATTGCACCACCTGGAACACAAGGAATCATTAGAAAATTTGGGATTTTATGCAAAATTCTGAACTGGGAGTCAGTCCTGAAGAACCAAACCATCAAAGGATGTCGAGGTCTGGGACTGCAGTTTGGATCCCTATATAATCCAACCAGCCAAACCTGAACAGTACCAATACAGCAGCAAATACATACCCGGAAATGAAAAATCCCAGCATAATCATCCTGGAATCCTTGGTCCTTTGGTAAAACATTTTCCAAAAATTGCTTCTGCAGTGTCAGGGAGCCCACGGCAGCCAGCAGCCAGCAGTCACCTCAAGGGAGGGAAGAATCCCGTGCATTTAGTCAGTTGCTCACTGTTTGGGACCATAACTTTAGGAGAGTGGACTTCAACATCTAAGACCCAGCTTGTTAAAAGAAACCAACATCCTTCTGTCTCCCTTTCCTCACCAAAAATGCTGGACCACTACCCAGTATTCACCAGCAATGTCCTTGGGGAACCCTGATGCCACCACCCAGACATCCCTTTCTACTTTCATGTTTCTTCTATCTTTTGCAGTCATGTTGAGAATTGCAGTCTAGAACATTGTTTAGGACATCTTCAAGCCTCTCAGGGGGAGGTGAGAAATGGGAAGATATTTCTGTATGGGAGCAGAGGTGCTCCCAAAGACAAACATGGTTATGGGCCAGGAGAAAAAGGTGGAGCCGATACAGGGTGCAGACACATTTCTGGGTAAGTATGAGAGAAGATGGACAGAAATATCCACAGGAAAGAAAACACTGAGAGTTAGATGAAGACATTAGGATGAAAAGAAAATTCAGTCCTACACATGTTGGAGCTGTGCCTACTTACCCCACAACTGTGGTTGTACTTGAAGCATCTACCTGATCTCAGTTGGACCTCCCTTTCTATGCTTGTCCCTATATACATAGAGGGCAGGTGCTGTATGTAAGTAACAGAGATTACAGCTGTTGCATCTGGGAATCCTGTTAGCAATAAATTGTGCGTGGACTTGTGTGAATCTGGACTGACCCGCACTAATTGTTTACTGCAACTACCATGGTCCATGTCTTCCCACCAAGCACTCAGAACTTAGCAAGGCAATCACAGGTTATTGCTTTGTGCCAATCTTTTCCAAAACAGGAATATGACCTTACCTATTTCTCCTTGCATGATATCAAATCTGCTAACTCCATCCATGATCAAGTAAGGATTTCTCTGAAGTTCCTGGAAGAAAGAAAATGCAAAGTGCAGTGTGAGTACCCAGCCTTTACCAGCAGTGTGTTCCCGTCCCTTGCCTGCCTAGCTTTTCCACAGCTGAACTACCATTTCTCTTGAGCCCTGATGTTTTGTTGTCTGCCACCAACAAACCAGAGGAGATACTCACACATCCCTTCTTTAATCTGCTCAGCTATTCCTAGGAAAGGGGACTTATGACTGGGTGCTCACTGAGTTTTCATTTGGTTTTCTCTAATGCTACCAACACCTTTCAGAGAAAGCTTTGAGCCTAGCTGCAAAATCATGCAGTTTCCTGGGGGACAGTAAGGCAGAGTCACAGAGGTTTCCAAGCAAAGTGGAGCAGGGTCTGTACTTCAGCTCAGCACTGGGTCTGGGAAGGGTTTACTCTCTCAGACTTTTGTGTTTCCATGCAGGACTAATACAGATCAGCCTGGGCTACTTTTTATTACTCTGGTGAGGAAGCTATAGAAAGATCTTAATCTCTGGTTGCAAAATCCCATAGGCCTGGCTGACATTTAATTCAGGCAGAATTCTCCTTGCATTCCTTAAGAGTCTTGCTTGGGCAGTGAAGGGGGAAATGCTTCAGAGCTTAGCTTTGCACACAGAAATGTGGACCATTCTCCCACATGCATCTGCTACTGGTCTGGGGTATCTGAGCTCTCAGGTAGGAATGGCCTGAGCATTCCCTGTCAGCAACCTTTGGTACACCCCAACTTAGTAAGGCTCTGTTTTGAAAGAGCTTTCAGCCTTAAATAGGAAAGTTACCATGCACCTAAGAAAATGAAGAGATAAAAGAGAGAAAAAATGTCTGAGTAAGAAAAATAATACAGCATAATAATGCCCTGGCATTTCTTCTCCCCAATTGATTTGACATGCAGCACAAAAACGAGACCAGCGCACAACATGACTCACACAGTTGCGTGAACTCGACATTAGCAAACGCTGTCAGTTTTCTGAAATGGCTTCATGGTGATCAAACCCTTCTAAGAAGTTTTCCTGTCAGGAGAAGATGCAAAAGCAAAGTTGCTGCTCCAGGCTGGCAGACAGATCATGGTCTCACAGCATGGCTGACACTGGGGAAAGCAGTCTGGGCAAGCATCTTCCTCAACAGATGCTTTCATGCAGCCATCCACACCTAACACCTATCCCAGGACATCAAGGATGTGTGATAAGAGATTTACCCATAGCACAGGAGCAGGCCTAAGAAGCGGTGGTCGCCAGCAGCAGTTGGTCATCGTACAGGGAAGCAGGAGTGCTCCGTCCTTCTTCCTTCACTGCTATATCTGTCCCATCTTTATCTTCTCCCTGCTTCTATTTCCCTGACAGCAGTTTGCCTCCCTCACCTGAGTGAATTCAAAATCTCCCACAAGCAGGAAAGAGTGACTTGCATGACAAGGCTCTGAACTTGTGTCTGACTTGCCAATAGTCATCCCAGAAAACCAACAGCATAAAGCAATGGGTATTTTTGTTCCCCATCTTTTCTGAGGCTGTTGAAGTCCTAGTTACCCCAGGCAGGGTGGCTGGGGTCTAATGGATGTGCTACAGCGCAGAGCTGCCATGGGGGTAACCACCATATAGAAACACGAGCCTGAAACTAATGGGAAGGCAGCTGCATCTGATGAGATTCCCGAGGAAAGGGCTGATGCTCTGCTCTGTGTTGGGATGATAAATCTCTTAAATCTACTGTGGATCCTGATAGCCTGTTATGGAGACGGGCTGAAAAGTCAGCCCATTAGATGCCTCAGCAGATACCTTATTGCCCACAAAGCTGTTTGACTCCCCAGTAAGCAAACGGGGATGAGTTGAGTCATTAAGCAGGTTTGCTGAGAGAAACCAATCATTTTGTCTAACAAAAGCTGAACGCAAACCCTCTTCCTGTCATCCCCACCCACAACACACTAAACTCTGCTTTCAGTGGGGTGTGTAACTCACAGACTTTGCAGGCAATAACTGGAAGGAAACACCATGGAAAAGGGGCTGCTCAGCAGCTGTCCCTCTGCAGAAACCATGTGGCAAATGCAAAGTGAAGTCCTACTAAACTGACACCACTGCTGCTGGCTGAAATGGCAGCAGTCCTCCTCATTGCATGCACTGTGGTTAGAAATGGCGGGGCAGGTTTTAACAAGAGGTCTGTGATTCTCAGTGTAGCCACCTCTCTGCAGGCTTGAGAGAAAGAGGCAGCATGGGCACTCTTCAAAAGGATGCGCTGCACAGAGCACGGGCTCTTTGCGGAGAATTAGGTGTCAGCCAAGGAGGGGCACGGGCCAAACAGAAGCTGAAACAAAGGCAGGAGGGGGCAGTGGCAGGGAATTGCAAGACCAGCTACTCAGAAGAGCTCTGGAAGAGTGCAACCCCTGAAGTCAATGGTGGAATGGCTGTTCCCTTGAAGGATGCTGTGTGGAGCCTAAACTGAACGCAGAGGGTTTCTGAAAGAGCTTACAGAGGACATAATTGTGATGGGTGCAGTGCTTTGGAAATCTGGGCCTTCTCAACCAGAGGTGAGGGAGGCAAGGAAGTCTTCAATTAGCTCTTCTTCCTTCAAAGGTAAGAATACAGCAGTCATAAACCACCAGAAACTATCATCTATTATTGCAAAACGTGGCTAAGCACAGTTACCACTAAACAAAATGTGCAAGCCTCACTATTCACTAGGGCTCAAATTGCGTGACAAATAGAGAAACCACAGATTTAACTGCCTGTCCAGAAGCAGTGCCCTGTTTCACAAAGAAATGATGATGAGGTTTTGTGGCATCTTCCCCAAGACTTTTCAGTTTCAGCTGGAGGGGGAAAGAAGAGGGAGCTCAAGGAGTCACATGCTCTCTTCTCAGAGTATCTGAGTCCAGCAGTGAAGGCAACCATATGGGCTGCAAGTCAAGTGCTCTGCCTGAACTCATCCCTCCAGGACAAAGCTATCATCACACATTTTCCCTGGCCCACTGAAGACTTCATTATGCATTCAGAATAAAAGAGAAGTTCAAGTTCAAACCAGTTCATCCTCTAGAGAATGGTCTTATCACACAAGTACTGTTTATCCAAAGGGCAAGATGGAGAATTAATTTGAGAGGTGGAAGGACAGCACCCTGTACATGCATTTGTTTCTAAATTTCTTTTTATAATTGCTTGAAATTTTGAAGGAAGAACAAGTCCCCAGACAAAGCTGTAGGCGAGTAGTGTAGATGTAGGCCACATGCAGACATAAAAAGGACACAGTCAGACATTTTTGTGGAAAATCAGAAGCCTGAGGTAGAATTTCATAGGCAGCATAAACCAATCTGACTGCAGGCCGTTGCTCAGTATGGGTGTCTGGCCATGGACACTTTCCCATAGACTTCTCCACTGGCTCAGCATGATCCTGAGCGCAGGCACAAGGCCACCAAGGGTTTAGAGGCAGGAGATGATTCTTTGCAGAGGCACCACCTGATCACTTCACCTTAACCCTACAGTAAAATCTCAGCCCCGCTTCTGTTCCTGCCATAGCACATTTTTCCCTTCAGCTGCACTTTGTGTTGCTACCCCCTGCTCCAGCTTCACCTTCCTGACATGTCCTGCCATTGTGAGCCATGAGGCTCCCTGTTCAACACACACTAAGAAAAATAAAAAGGTATTGATTGAAAGCCAAACTGTTCTCAGCTGGACAAATCTTAATTCACTGCTGTGCCTGTAATAGTGTTGCTTTGAATTAAGAAGCAAACATTGCAGTTCCCTGGGCCGAGGGCACTGCCTAGCAGTGCACTGAGGAGGGGTCAGGCACACCATTGTCACACATCTCCTAACCACAGGAAACCTCAGAGAATACCTAACACAGAAATAAACCAGGAGGAGTAATGAAGGAGGGCAGAACAATGGATAAGCTGCGCTTGGTCACACCAAAGGTCTGCCTGTTGAATTGACTTGTCTCCAACAGCTTGGAGAGGGAGAGGATAACCGAGCAAGCTGAAACTAATGCTCCTCCCACATACATCTTCCTACTCTCCATCAATTGGGGGCTAAAGGACTTCCCAGGCTGGAGGCTCTATCCACAGTTTTGTGTTTATTAGAGCTTCAGGGAATTGTGAATCTGCTTCCTTGAATCTGCCTAATCTTTTTTTTTTTTTTTTTAACTCATATTCTGCTTTTCTTTTACATTCTCTTAGACAAGGAAAAACCAGCCTAATCTCAAGGGGTTTACTTGCACCAGCAGAACTCAATTCCCACTTTACAGTAGAATAGCTCAATTCCTAATTGCCTGTTTTCAATACAAATGCCTGAGTTGCTTAAAAACCTCTGCTCTGCTCCAGCTCTCTCTGACAATAGAGGAATGAGGTCCTCAGACTGCACAGGTGGGGAGGCCACAAACATGAGAACAAAGTCCTGTTAGAGGACAGGCTGGTGTCCAGTAACCAGCAGCAACAGAAACCAGCTCAGATTTTACCTGCAATCCATTTGCTTTGTGTGGTTTAGCGCTAAAAAAACAATGATAATTGCAAACAAAGGAGGTAAATACAAAAGAGGTAAACAATGCAGCTAATCCTGTCTACCCAAGCCTTTGAGAGGCAGTTTCCTTAGAGGTCTTGAAACCTCCCACTTGGTCCATACAGTACAGGTTGAAGTTTACAAAGTGGCACAGTGTTACTAATTAATCCCCTGTGGCCACCAGAGTCATATAATCCTGCTAGCTGACTCTCCAGCCTGAGAAAAAGGGAAGAGGTGAGTCAATAGACCACCATGGGAGCACTGCTTTCCTCTCAACCAGGGGTGTGTTCATTCCTCCCCCAGAAACCAGCCCTTTGCAAAAGCAACAGAGCCCAGAGATACTATGCAAATAAGCCCTCTTCATCTAAAGCCCGTGCAGAAAGATAGACATAATAAATGTTGACGCACTGCAGCTTCCTCGGCCCAGAGATACGAACTCTGAAGTCGAGGTCAGATGCAATCAGCTGAGTAGGCAAGGGCTGAGACAACAGCAGCCTGGAAATTCTGCTTCTGTTCAATTATACTGATTGCACACA